AATCTATTTCACTAAGTTCAGAATACAAGGGAACAGATATGAGCTATTGAAGTCTTTTTATTTGTTTGCTTGGTGGGGTATTTCCAAGAACAAGATATTAAATATTTGGAATCATTTTCTAAATTAAAAACTCAAGTAAAAAAAATAACCTGTTCAACATAGAGACAAAGTATAGGGCACTCTTCATAAACTTTCCCAGCCCTTGACTCTTTAAATCAAGCCCAAGATGTAGCTTCCCAGTTGGACAACTTGCTAGAGCTTAGGTAGAAGGATAGAAGTAATTACTTAAGTATATATCCTCCTACTGACACCATCCTGAGATACAAGCTAAAATGCTTATTTATTGTAGAATGAAACTAAAGCCCCTTCTTAAGAACAAAACAGGAATACTACAGTCTATAAGTCCAGAAGATGGTCTCTACCTTGAACATGTGGGCACACTGATCTTGGGTCTCCAGCAAACACAGATACAAAAAAATAAGTGTCTACTAAAGCCACCTATGGTTTTAGGTGGCCTTTTTAGCAGACTTTTTTAAAGATAGAAGGCAAGCAATTTTATGATTGTTTTAGAAAATTAGTTATTTTGTATGAATATGGTCTAAAAACAAAAGAAACTACTATGATCATGTATAGAAAAATAGAGAAGATTCATTTTCCTATTTTGAGATTTTTTGCATTCCGCTAAGTTTAGAAAAATATGTGGTATTAACAACAGAAGACACACACACACACACACACACACACACACACACACACACGCCCCTACATGTGTGTATGTAGTTGCACGTGGAAAGATTAACATTCACAAACATATATGCACACACCTGTGCCCAGATACATATACATTTGTAGAAATGATAATCCCTCACCACAACTTGTACTGCATAGCTATAGTGATATGATCAGCGTGGTATTGGCACAAAATCAGACACATCAATCAATGGTATTAAATTGAAGACTGAGACATGAATCCACACATTTATAGACATATGATTTTGATAAAGAAGATACCATATACACTGGAAAAATGACAGCCTCTTCAACAAATGGTTTTGGTCAAACTGGATGGCTGCATGCAGAAGAATCCAAATAGATTCATATTTATCAACCTGCATAAAGCTCATCAAAAACCTCAACACAACACTAGATACCGTACATCTGATTTATAAAAATGCAGAAAAGAAAGGAAGGAAGGAAGGAAGGAAGGAAGGAAGGAAGGAAGGAAGGAAGAAAGAAAGAGAAAGAAGGAAAGAAGGAAAGGAAAGAAGGAAAGAAGGAAAGAAGGAAAGAAAGAAAGAGGGGTATACTTTTGAACTTGGTGACATAGTAAAAGACTTTCTTAACAGAACACCATTTCCTCAGACACCAACTCAAACAGTTAAAAAATGGACCTAATGAACCTGTGAAGCTTCTGGATGTCAGAGGACACCATCATGCTGATAAAGTCGAAACCTACAGAACAGGAAAGATTTTCACCAACTCTAAATCTGATAAAGGGCTAAAGTCCAAAAAATATAAAGAATTAAACAACTAAATATCAAGGAAACAAATAATCCAAATTGAAAATTAGGTACAGGTCTAAACAGAGGACTCTCAAAGGCAGAAACTCAAATGGGTGAGAAACACTTAAATTTTCAACATACTTAAAGATCAGGGAAATTAAAATCAAAACTACTTGAGCTTTCCTCTTACACTGGCCAGAATGGATAAAGTCAATAAAATAAGTGACAGATAGCTCATACTGTGAAGGATTTTAGTAATTCATCCATTGGAACACTCATTCATTGCTGACAGGAGTCCAAAGTTGTACAACTAATCTGAAAATCAGTGTGGTGGTTAATTAGAAAAGTAGAAGTTCATCTACCTTAAGATCTAGCTGTAACACTCTCATATATACACTCAAAAGATGCTTTATCCTACCATAAAAATACTTGCTCAACCATGTTTATTGCTGCTCTATTCATAATAGCCAGAAATTAGAAACAATCTAGATGTCCCTTAACTTATAAATGGATAAAGAAAATAAATTACATACACACACACACACACACGCACACACACAACTTAATGTTACTCAGCCATTAAAGAGGGAAATTCTTAGAAATGGAACTAGAAAAATAATCATCTTGAGTGAGATAAGCCAGACACCGAAAGACAAATATGGTATGTATTCCCTTACGAGTGGATATTAGTTGTTAAGCCAATGATAACCAGGCTATAACTTATAAGCCACAGACTAGAGAGTGCGTGAGGGACTTAGGTGACAGGTAGATAATCTTAATAAAGAAAACAGAATAGATATTTATGTAAGGACAGGAAGGGGCAATGGAGGGGGAGGAGGAGGGAAAATAAGAATGTCGAAAGAAATATGGGGAGAGACAGCTAAGATTAAAGGCTATTTGAGGGGGTAGTGTGGAAATCTAATACAGCAGAAGCTTCGTAAAATAATACTTATATGAAGGAAATCTAAATAAAATGCCAAATAACAGGGGAGCTAGAGTGCCAACTGGACATCTCTTCTTGCCAAACAAAGCTTCCAATACTGGTATTGGACTGAATCTAACTGAGTTGCTGACCAAACAGGTTCCATGGAAACCCCTAAACCACCCAGGCTATTGCTAAGGCTATACGTTATTCTTCACAAACTGAGAGAAAAGCACTCGTGTTGAAGACACTTACACAACTCATCAGACATGGAGAAGCTGGTTTTTACAGAGAGTCTTCACCCTTACAGATTGTTGTTTTTGGCACCAGAAGGTACTTGGCACATGACAAAAAGAGACCTGTAAATGCTAATCCAGGCTCAAACCCTTTGATGTATGAAAGTGTTCTGCCTGCAATCTATGCTAATGGCTATGGTGACATAAAGCTTATGGGAGTATCCAACCAATGTTTAATTTGACTTAAACCCCAATCTATGAGATGCAATCTGTACCCAATATTACTTGAATGGCCAGCAACAAGGGAATAGGTAGCCCAGGGACCTAGGGTAAAATCAAATACTGCTCTATTAAAAGAACCAAGAAATAAAATGACCCCCAATGACTTTCAGCAGTACTAATAGACAGTGTCTTGCTCAGCCTTGACTGAAGCTTGGAGCAGCTTCCTCCTGCTTCAGATGGGAAAAATGTACAGAGACTTATAGTTCAATATACAGAGAATGAGAGAATTGGGAACATTCAGCCATAAATGGTATGTCTTCCTCAAATGCCTCCCCTTAATTCTCAAGGAACCCTTCAGAAGAGGAGGTGGAAAAAGTGTTAACAGCCAGAGGGGATGTAGGACATCAAGGAAACAAGGCCTTCCAAACGCAACATCATCGATGCACATGTGAACTCACAGAGATGGAGGTGGCATGCACAAGGACTGCAGTGGTCTAAAGCAGATGGGGTGCCTGAGATAAAAGAAGAAGTGAACATACGTCCTCATCCCCAACACAGAAGCTATCTACAGTTAATATCCACTTGTAAATGATAATTTAGTTTTCTTCAAGGGAGTCTTACTGGAAAACTAACTACTCTTAAGGTTAGGCTACATGTCCTACAGTAGATGGCCGACAGAAAGACAACTCAATTGCCTCTTTTAAGTTTCCTTGTCTCATAGTCTAATCTCAGAACTTTTCACTTCTTCCTCTTCGTTTAATCTCATTTTATTTTTATTTATTTATTTATTTATTTATTTAATACTACAGGTCTTTTGCATATGTGCTATGGCTTTCTGTGCTGTTTTTATGAGATTCTTGGTATGCTAATGAGTGGGTTTGTGTGTCTATGTGTGTTCCTTGTATCTATTTTTTCTTGGGCTCTTTTTCTTCTTCTGTTTGCTTATTTTCCTCTATTTGGATGTGATTGCTTTTGATTTATCTTATTTTATTTTATTATTATTTCTTAGAAGACTGTTTATTTTATAATAAGAGACAGAAAAGGGGTAGATCCAGATGGGTGGGGAGGTGGGGAGAAGCTGGATGAGAGGGAAGAAAAAAACCATAATTTTTTCTTTTATTGGATATTTCCTTTGTTTACATTTCAAATATTATCCCCTTTCCATGTCTCCCCTCCAGAAACCTCCATTCCATCTCCCTCCCCCTGCCTCTATGAATGGTGCTCCAGCACTCACCCACCCACTCCTGCCTTCCCACCCTAGCATTTCTCTACAATGGGGCATTGGACTGCCACAGGACTAAGGGCTGCTCCTACCACTGATATCCAACAAGGCTATCCTCTGCCACATACAAGGCCAGAGCCATGGGTTCTTCCATGTGTATTCTTTGCTTAGTGGTCCAATCCCCAGGAGTACTGGGGACCTGGCCAGGAAAAACCCGATAATTAAGATACATTATATTTTTGAAAACCCATTTTCAATAAAAGAAAAAATAAAAATAAACAATTAACATTCAAAAATGTTTTACAAACAGCTCTTTATAAATAGAATTTATGACATGATTGTTCTTTCATAGAAATGCTTTTCAAGTCACATGATCATGTGTTGATTAAGCACACAGAGTATGAATACCCACTATTCAAGGGCTGGATGTATCAGTTCAACATGAAAGACCAGGAAACAATTTCCTACAGCAAAGATTTACCATAAAGGGAAAGATTCTTATATAAGATGCATTCAAAAATCAATTTCACACTTCTAATTTAAAGCCAATTCAAATGCAATTACTGTATCAGGATCATCCATTTGGTTAGGGCCAGAAATACAATCACCAGGGGCAACAATGATGCTGCTTCTCAGAAGATAACCTTCTAACAGTCATGCTGAGAAAGGAAAAACAACACAACACAGATTAGGAGACTTACTGAGCACTGTGACTATCACCATGCAAACTGATCTACTTAGAAACCAAGCCATTCTAAGACATGGTTCATGCTCTGTGTCATTTCTACTCAAATGAAGACTTTCCCATCTGTTCCAATGCCCTAGTTCACACCACCTCCAATGCTGCTATGTAGAAGAGGTAAAAGAACACGCTCAGCACAAAACATTAGACTTACCACTCTCATCATCTATGTTGAACCTCCCAAGACCACTGCCATCTCTGATGGAGTACTGGATCTCTCCATCCCTACCAGAATCCTCATCATGGGCAATCACCTGAAGCACACTTGTTCCAATCCGTGAGTTTTCTTTTACAGATCCAACGACAGCAAAGTCTGGGAAATAGGGTGTATGAAGGTTTTCATTGACATCTACTACCTCCACTTCAACAAAAGAAACTGATGACAGAGAGACAGGCCGCCCTTTGTCTTTGGCCCTGACTGTCAGGTTGTAGAATTGCTGCTTCTCATAGTCTAACTCTTTACTCAATCGGATGGCACCACTTGCTTTGTCTATTTCAAATCTCCCGTTATAATCATTGACTAATGAGTAACGGACTTGACCCCCCAATCCAAGGTCAGGATCCTGAGTCTCAAGCCAAGCAATAACTGTACCAACAGGAAGATCTTCAAGGACCTTCACACTGTAGCTACTGGGGATAAAAGCTGGAGAGCAATCGTTGACATCATCTAGAAAGATCTTGAGAGTGACAACAGAAAACAGCTGCTGGCCACTTTCTGCCTTGTCCCTGGCTTCTATTTTCAAAGAATAGTTGGCTTTGGATTCTCTGTCCAGTTGATCAGCTATATAAACAATCCCAGTTGAGCTATTGATGATAAACTGGTGTGTGTCTGTCAAGACTGAGTACATTACTTCACCATTAGAACCCAGGTCTTTGTCTCTCGCTTCCACTTGAATAATTTCCATGCCAATACTTGAACTTTCAAGAATACTGACTGAGTAGCTGTCCTGAAGAAAGACTGGGTTGTTGTCATTAGCATCTTCCACATTGACAGTTAGCAATCGCCATGATGATTTCTGTGGCTTTCCAAGGTCATAGATGGTTATGTTGAGGACATAGAGGTCAGTATGCTCTCGGTCCATGGGCATGAGGACTTGAAGTTGTCCAGTCTCCATATCAATATTGAAGCAGCTATCTGTATTTCCATCTGATATTGTAAACAGTACCTTCCCATTGAAGCCAGAGTCTGCATCATACGCTTTAATCTTCAGGATGTTAGTTCCAACTGGCATGTCCTCCTTTACAGCCACATCAGAGGGAAAAGACTTGTCAAAATGCGGTCCTTGCCTATTAATTGAATAAAAGTCAAGAAATCCATCTTCTAGATTCAGTTTCCCATTAGCTTTTGCTTTAATGAGTAGTTTCTCCGCCAATTTCTGAGCCACACGAGTTTCTCTGCAACTGAAGCTCTTTGAAGACACTTTCCCATGGAGGACTGAGATGTTAATGGCCATGGGGTCTGCGAAGTTTTCCCCATCAGTAGCTGTGATTCTGAGGGCAAAATTGCCATTTTTAATGCCAGAATTCATCAGTGACTTCTTAAGCTGCAAAACACCAGAGTCTGGGTTTAAATAAAAAAACCCAAGTTCATTTCCAGAAATGATTTTGTACTTTACAAGTTCAAGTTCATCAATATCAATAGCAGAGATGGCTGTGATGTGACCCCCAACAGGAAAATCATATGAAATAACTCCCTGGCAAGCCACTTTTTCAAAGAGAGGGCTGTTGTCATTGACATTTCCTACCCTAATGGTCACATTCACCTCACTTTCATGGCGGTATGGGGATCCCCAGTCAGAGGCTCTCACAATGAATCTATATGTCTCTGGGGAGGATTCAAAATCTAACTCTTCAGTTGTGCTGATCACACCTGTGAACTGGTTAATGGCAAATGGTAAAAGGTTCAGGCTGGCAATGCTGTAGGTGATGTATCCATTTTCCCCTTTATCCTTATCAGAGGCGGACACAGTGAGAACATTTGTACCAACGGGAACACTCTCATTCACAAAAGTCTCATACAGTGTCTCCTGGAATTCTGGGGTGTGGTCATTGGCATCTTCAATCCCAATGGTGACTTGTGCCTTTGCATCTCCTTCCTTGTCTGACACTTCCAGCTTATAAACTTCCTTCTTCACTGTATTCAAGGGCTGTGCTGTGACAATCAGACCTGACCGGGGATTAATTTTGAAGTACTCTGCATCCTTACCAGGCAGTAGTTTGTATTCCACATCCAGTGGCTCAGGATTTACCTTGACTATGGCTACCATGACACCAGGAGGGGAAAACTCACTTATACTGACTTCATAGACATCTTTTTCAAACCTGACTGGGATGCTGTCTCTTCTGGGGTTGGCAATGTGGACTGTCCTTAATTCTGAAAGCTTCTGAGGTGACCCTTTGTCTTTTGCTTGAATAGTGAGGTTATAGCCATAGGAGAAACTTTCCCAGTCCACCTGCCTTCTCTCCTTGACTTTATACTCATTCATCCACTTTCCTTCTTTAGCCAGGAAGAACTGCTCCAAAGGATCTCCATCCACAATGGAAACAGATTCGATCTCTCCATTGGCCCCCTCATCCAGGTCGTCAACTGTCACTACTGCATATGTTGGCTCCTTATCCAATGAGAAAGGGGTGTGAGTGACCACATGGATAATGGGAGCATGTTCATTTATGCGTTCAATGTGAACATAAAGCTTAGCCGTACTGCTCACTCCATTATTACCGTAGAGCTTCATCCCCCGGTCCACCGCTAAGATTTCTAGATCATATCTGTTCTTCTCATCATAATTTAATCGGCCACTTAAAGAAATGACACCACTTGTTGGGTGAACTGAAAAAAGATCAACCTTGTTTTTGAAGTAGTAGTAGAATTCTCCATTGGAACCAATGTCTGCATCTGTAGCTGTCACCTGGGCAACGCTAGTCCTGAGTGGTGTGCTTTCTGCAATGGTGACTGAGTAGGTGGTGGGTGAAAACAGAGGCCTCAAGTCATTCATGTCTAAAACCTGGATGTTCACTTTGGTCCATGCTTCCAAGTCTTCTCCTCTGACTGAACCTTTTATGATTAATAAATAATTGTCTTGGATTTCCCTGTTCAATATGGCAGAATTGCCACCTTTAGTTCTTATCCTGAGAAAGCAGAAATCTGCAATGATGACCTCCTCAGCCTTAAAAAATCCTTCCTCATCACCAGACACTATTCTGTACTTGATATCCCAGGACAGGTCTATTAAGGTGATGCCCATTCTGCTCTGGCTGTTGACATAGGTCCGCGCTGCCGAGTTCTCATACACTGTAGCATTATAGGTGGCATGTGTGAAATGGAAGCCCAGGGGCCCTGTCCCTGGCAGCCCCTGGGAGATGGTGACAAACAGCTTCAGGAGCAGGAGGATGAGGCAGGAAGGAGGCCTTGCGACCATACAGTGTTCCATATTCACACCCATCATATTACATGTCCGTCCTGGAAGGAAATACAGAGAAAAGATATAGATTAATTCAGAAGAAAGTGAGGGAAAGAAACACAAAAGAATAGCTTCTAAAAAAAAGTGCATTCAGAAGGCTGTACTATAGAAAATCTTTTCATTAAAGCATCAATACAAAAATTATAACATTCACTGCTACTAGTTAGTAAAGAATTCAAAGTCATTAGAATTTAACCTTACCTTGATTGACCTTACTTAAATACACTTTCCCACTACTGTTGGGATTGGTTTGGGGCACCAAATTTATTATATGTTAGAGGTCAACTAAGAAATGTGTAATTGGAGACCTTAAATCCATTTAACTTTAACCTACAGTAGCCTTTTGCACAATTATATGAGAAAGTTCTTTAGATATCTTCATTACAGCACAGTTCCAAATTTAAGAAGAAAAAATTTAAAGACACTAAGAGACTATCAATAGAAAATTAAATAATTTAGAGTACACTCTTAAAACTATGGCATAGCAACTAAAATGATGGTAAGAGATATGTGCTTTCATATGCATAAAGATGAAGGGCTATGGTAAGATGAGGTATCCATGATGAATCTGAGAGTATCCTACTTAAACATTAACTCAGACAGTTGCATCTTTAGCTTTTAAATGGCTACTATTATGGGATGTGGAAACATAATTACACTTCCCAAGTCTTTCACTGAATGGGCCTCCCCAATGGTTACTTAATTTCTTTTATACAATGATGACCTCCTCAGCATTAAAAAAAATCCTTCCTTATCACCAGACACTATTCTGAAGGTGTTACTGTCTTCTATTCTGTTTACTTTAAAACTGTTCAAAATGAGTGGACAGTTGAGTGTCAAGAGAAGGAATAAGATTTAGTCTTATGAAGGTGACAGTCTGTCAAGGCTCCGAATTATCTAAGCAACAATGCTCAGTGACTATACATCGCAGAAGGAGGGTAACAGTACTTTCCTGAAAGCATGTAAGGAATTATAAGAGTTACCTCCAGCTACTATCATCAGTGAATACAAAATTGTGAGTCACCATAGTTTTATGACCATCCATATTAAAACACAAAAATATTTTCTTCTTTTTGCCAGTTAAATATGTCAAATACTGTGTGGGAAGACCATTTAACAAGGAGTAGCCAAATCATGTTATCTTGACAATTGTATTTTCAGAGTCTCTAAGAATGAGCTATTGTTTCAAATAGCAATATCAGGGCCTGCCCTGCCAGTCTCCTACAGGAATTACAGAAATAGAGATGTAGATGCAAAATGCAAGGTGCAAGATGATCTCACTGTGCTACATTTTTAAAAACACTTATGTTTATAATTTTTTCATTGTATGTAGGTATGTGCGTCTGCATGTGGATATGTGCACATGAGCATAGGTGACCTTGGAGGCCAGAGATGGCCAATTCTTTGAAACTGTTGTTGCAGATAGGTGTGAGCTGCATGATACAGCAAATGCTTTTAACCATTGAGCAATCTCTCTAGTCTCCCACTGTTCTGCATTTAATACTGAACAATAGGTACCATTTACCTGATCACTTATTAGGAAATGGACAGCCAAATAAGTTGGCCTCTTTAGTTCAGCCTCTGACTTACTCAGTGTTGCCAGGTAGGTGTTAGGTGTGGCCCAGAGGACCCTCAAATCCTTGGCTTTCTTAATGTATCTAGTGTGTGTGCTCCTCCAGTTCACCTTTATTTTCACTAGATCATCTATAAGCCATCATCTTGATACACAGATGATGTGATTTACTTCTGCTAGTCAGTAAAGATTATTGATGAAAATGCATAGACCCATCCAGCATCTCTAATTCATTATCTGCTTTATCTGCTTTCTGGTTCATATTACTGTATTACTGGTGTTATGATAAATGAAAAACTCAACTGAAGTTAATATTTTAAAGCATTACAGATGTTTATTTTTTTAGTTTAGAAAATACTATTACACTGTTTTTGTTATTATTATTATTATTATTATTATTATTATTATTTTGGTAAGACCATGGAACTTCTTTCTCCTAGTGGCAGAGAATGAGTTTGAACTCAGCCTTTCTTCCCTGACCACGAGGCTTTCCACTTCTGTTCAGTGAATGAGGCAAAACTCTGGGTATGTGTAGACTAGGTTCCTGTTGGGATGTGTGTGCCATGCTACTGTCATCAGCTGAGCTATCTAGAAATACTACTGCATAGCTAGGAGTAAGTTCAATACAGAGATTTCAATCTCATAGACAGCACAGACCACAATAGTGAAAAGCAGAAAGAGGGTATAACCTTTTAAAAAAATAGTTAATTTTTTAATGTTACATGCAGCTTCTCTGATTGTCATCAGGAAATGTCTCATGGGCTGAGATCATAAATCAGAGCTGTGCCCTTACTCGGAGAGAAAGCCGGAAATAAGGCCAGGAGTAAGGGGTGTGGCAGCTTGCAATGCTAGTCAATAGGTTTGTAGAAGCACACTATTTGGCTCCTGGGCATTTCAGAGGTATCTTGACATATATTTTGTGTTGTACACACAACTAAAATCTGAGTGTGGTAGCCTTGTCTCTAGCAATCACACATTGAAGTCTGCAGAAGCTTTAATGATATTCTGTGTACACTGATGGACCTTCTTGTCATCTTCTGAAGAGGATGAGGACCAGTGGTGGTGCTGACTTCAGCCTCACTATGAGCACCCTCGTTACTCTTCTGGGATAGTCTTTCCTTGAAGCAGACAGTTACTCATAAGTGGTCCTCTGTGTGTCTGGGTGGTCATTTGTACAAAGTCCTTTATGAATCCTTCAAAGCAAAGAATGTGAGAGCAACTGTTCAAATTAACTAATCAAAATTGATGCTTTCCAAAATTGAGCTGTTCTTTCAGCAAGTTCACTGCTACCTTTTTTTCTCTTATGAATGAGAATGAGTGATCTTAAGGCACAAAAAGAAAACAAACCCACTAAGCGAGAGTACTTTTGTCAGCTTCAGCTGTCAAACCCACAATATCTTATATGACATTTTTATATGTGGTTTTGAAGAAGGAAAACAAAAGCTGCAACTGCCACGAATGCTTCCTAGCAGTCTTGCTCGAAGGTTTGGGGGAAGACAAGAGTGTTAGACGTTAGGTATTTGGTACAGTTGAAATGTAAACACTATAAGAAACCCCTAGCTTATGTTTTAGCATGCCAAGATAACAGTTTCTATTACTTTCCGAAAGGTGTTGGCCTTTTTAAATGGAATCCAAAGCTGTTTGTGAAGTTATGATAGTTACGATGTCTTTGATGCCCTATGCATTGATTTATTCTACTGCTTCTGGATTATTTTAAAAGAAAGAGGCTATTTCTGAACCCCGGAGTCCATTTTCTACAACTTAGCAACATAATCAATATTTTTATACAATCTCTAACAAGATCACTGAGCTATCAATCTTGGAGACATTCTTCTTTCAGAGGGAGTGTTGGCATGACTCTCAGCCAGCCTTTTCACTACGAACGTGGGCCTCAGTGTAGGACTCTGATAGAGGATACAGATCTGTCTTTAGAAGGGGTGAATAAATACTAGAGACCTTGGGGCAGGTACAGTACTTACTGGGACAGCCTTGACCATGTGAAAACTCCAGGGATGAGTTTATGAAGTTTTATGCTTCTTAAAACTCTCCTCTTTAGGTTGCTTCTAAACAGTAACAAGTCAGATGAAGAAATATTCTACTTAAGCCCTCTCTCTTCCTGAGTTATACATGTTGAAAGTGTCTGTTTTCCAGAAAGAACTCAAAATATACACTGTGCAAAACTGTGAAACATACAGCAAAATCAACACATGCAGCATCTCCCCCTACAGATGTCCTTGGGAAAGATGTGTGCTGTTCTGCCTGTCCCAACCTGACCAGTCATTAGTCAGATGTTCACTGTGGCAAAGCTCTCACCAAAAGGCTCCTTAAGTTATAGAAAATACCCTTTGACACATGACCTAGGTTTTAAACTGAGTTCTGTCATTACACGAGCAAACATGAACAGTCTATTTAACCTAAGAGTGCTTTGGTTTCTTCTATTGATTAAAACCTATGAAGTAGTTATCTTCTGGTAGGGTAAGTATATGAATTTAACCAGTCATTATTTACTAAGGTCAATTTTAGAGAATAGAACTCCTGAGTCACTGAAGGGGATCCATGACCTACCCCTTTCTTCTCCAATAGTAAAAGAAACACTCAAGTCAGAGGAATGGATACCTCATCCCCAGTCCAAGTCTATGAAGACAAGTGACCACATCCCAATGATCAGAGAAAGCTTAGTGAGATTTTTTGAGTATTAAGTCTCAGTTTTCTTGTTCTACAAAATGGAGTTTATAACATACCCTACAGCAACTCTCAATGTTTAGCAGTAGGTGAGTATAGTGTTGTACACATCATCCCAAACTTGGAAGGTTGAGAAAAGGATGTTGTTTGGAGGCTGACCTGGGCTACATAGAGAGCTTGAGTCCAGCTTAGTCCGTAGAGCAAGAGCCTATCCCAATTAAATCAACAAATAACAAAAAGTTACATAAATAGTGACTTTATAAGTAGTAAGATAATCAGAAACAATAACACAAAACGAAAATAGCGAACAATGGTTTGCCCTTAGCTGTGAAGGACATCCCTCCTGTGAAAACTACCATTCACAAAACCCAGCTTCAACCCAATGGTAAAGTCAGCATCACAGAAGAGTCCTGTCTGTGTACTATCAGTCACAGACTCTTGCCTCAGCTTGGCTATGCATTCCTCCACCCATGTAATAAACTTTCAAACTCAGAACAGTACAGCTGTACTAGGGAGCTCCTCTCAGCCCTAGTACTTCATTTCAGAGGAATTCAAGTTAGATCTTCCATTGTGATCATAAGCTCCAGGAAACCTGCTCAGCCCTGTATCTTCAGTAGCCTATAGCCTGTTCTATGTTTCTTGGTTGCTTGGCACTGCTCTGAACTCTGAGTCCTTGCTCCTGAAATAATCAGTTACACACTTCCTGCATGAAATGTGAGGGAATAAAGCTGTGCTTTTTTCCTC